GGGGGGGGTTCAAGCCTGTGAGATCATTAAGAGCTTATTAGCAGTCATTGTGCTGTTGGGTGCATTGTTTTCATTCGGTTATTCCAAAGCCTTTCGGCTCCATTGTGTTGAGCTGTGGGCTTTGGAAGTTATTGTTCCTGCAGAGTAGCCTGGTAAAGGACCATCACAGATAGCAGTCTAAGCTGTATGTTTGTTTGTTTTAAGGCACAGGGCCTGTTGACTGTAGGCAGATGAGATCAGCTCTGACCACCCTCTGGGCGAACTCTCCTGCTGTCTGACATCTGGAGCTCTGAAACTTAAAATCTTACTGTTCTCATATGTGCGCACAAGACATTGATCTGCAGGCTCATTAGATTCCACAATGATATTTCCTGGAGCCGTTCCTAGTCAAGACTCTGGACACAACCGAATATTGTTTCTTTCTGGTAAAAATTTGGACTGACTCGTCTTTGTGTTAACTGATTTACCGTCATCATTGATATCCTTTTACTTTCCAATATCTAACTATTGAGAGCCGTTTACATTTGCACCTGCTTTTACTGTGTAAAGGCATTCCATTGCTTTTCGTACTCAATTAATCATTGAAGGAAATGAGGAAAACAAAAATCTCTCATTAATGTCCGCCCCATCAAAAATGTCTCAGCATCTTAGTTTGTCCGAGCGTGTGTTCTCAGACGTCTGTGCTTGGCATCCCTCCACTGAAGAAATTGAAACGTCTGACCTTGCATTTAATGGAGGTGAAGGCAGTGCAGTGCACTTTAAACAACATTCCCTGCAGTGCCACAAGTTTGTTCTTTTGTTCTTTTGAAAGCTGTGGCACTTTTCTGATGGTTATCCCTTGACAGAGATGAGTAATTCAGAAGCAGCTGCCACTGGTGTTCTCATCTAAGCAAAATGTTTTTAAAGGTGCCCTTTTTTATCTATTTGACAAGTACTGAGTTCTCATAAAATTAAAAATTCCACTTGTTCCTCCAGGAACAGTCTCAGCTTCCTGCCACCATCTTACTCGCCCAACACAAGGCTCGTGCTGCCCAGCTGGAGACAGAGATCGAGCAGCAGAAACAGACCGTAAAGCCAACCAATATATTTTCAACGGGAATCCAAATGGTAAGTATGGCACAGAAGGCCTAGTTTTTAATGTCCTTTTAGCTGTGGATGTGTTTACATACTCTGGCTTTGGAGTTATTTTCTCAAGCTTTTGAGGGACTTTCATATGGGGAGAACTGGAAAAGCGTTTACCACTATGATTTGGTGGGCCTTTACTCTGCCTGCAGCTGCGTGCATCTGGAACATATAAAACACCTTTGTCTTCTGTCACGGTTGGCGTGTCTTTTGTCCTAATCTGTACTTTTTACAGATACCTTAAGGTTGCTTGTATTTGAACTTCATTTGTCATATTGGGTGTTGATGCTTAAGATGAAAGCAGCATGTATGCAAAGAAATTACATCTGTGAACTTTTTTCTTAATACTTTTCCAGTATCATGTAAAACAGATCTTGCAAGGCTATGGTGAGTTGGTATGGCATTTGATTAAACATATGTCGTAAACGTATATGATACATTTACAATCACTGTACACATCTTTCCAGTGATGAAGAAGTGCTTTGGAACATTTTTTTAATAGTTGTAGCCCTGGTGTTAATTGTTGTTCAGTTCAAATTTAAAGCTTCTAATGAAAGGTGCGTGTTGACAGTAGATTGTGGGTAAGAACTCAGAACTTCAAACAACAGATCTTCCTTCGCTTCTTCAATGTGGGAACCAGCCCTGATCCCTTCAGTCATGTCATCACATTCTTCTTTGTGAGCGTCGGGTCCCACAGAGAAGGAGCATGTGGGCTCAGGGCTTTTGCTGCTCTTTGCACGCCGTGTATGCAGAACCTCGACTTGGCTGTCGTTCAGATTTTTAGTCGTTTATTTTCATTTTCCTGTGATGAGATCGGCTGTGTCATCATCCTCGCCCTTTTCCACAGCTACCCTCATGAGGTATGTTGTCTTCCCACAGTTCAGTGGTGCATAGGAGAAATATGTGCTCCTTACTCAACTAAAACTTTAAACTATTTTTCAGCAGACTTGTTTATAACCAAATTCTCACTCCTTTAAAAAAAAAAAAAAAAAAGGCTGCCTCACACCAGTTCTAAAAAAGTGCTGCATTGAATCCAACAAAGAATGACTTTCACCCCCTGGATGTACACTGAAGTTAAACTTGCTGATGGAGAGAGAAACAGTGTGATTGTGTTGCTCTTGGCTTCCTATGTGGCTGTTTTTCCTCACTTCTTTTTTCCAATTTTTCTTCATCTTCCAATTTGGGCTGCTGTTGGTGGAGCAGAGCTCTCCCCATGCATCTGCTCTGTTGGACTGAGAGACTCGAGTCAGGGGAGTATGTGGGTTTGGATTTCCCTCCAGCTCAGAGTCCATAAGAACAATTTCTGTTTGACTTGGTGGAGTTTCAGCTCAGAGCGGTGGATTCCTGCAGATTGCTGGAATTCATTTATCTAATAGGTTGTGGTCTCTTGTTGGAAGAAAATTCTATTTTTCTTCAGCAGATATTAGGAGGGAAAATGTAGAATAAAATAACAAATATACAAAGCTCCGAATGATGTTCCTTGATAACAATTGTCTTTTCTGCATCATTTTAAGGGACACATTTTGGATTAGTGGTCCAACAAATCAAGCTTTTACTCCATTGACTCTTTGATAAAGTTATCAGCATTATAAGCCCCAAAACAGTTTTGAACTCATTCTACTATATTGAAGTTAGTTTAGGTTTTTTTTCATCTGGAAGTTTTGCATGCTGATAAGTGACAAAAGCAGGATTTGTGGGGCATTTCCCCTCTCTCACAGCTCTCCCCACCAAACAGCATTGAGTCAGCTGCTTCACCTCCAGCCAAGGTGAGCACTCACTACTGGAATGGCATTTCTGTCCGTCTTTGAGACATATGGGCCACGGAACACGAGGATCCGAATTCTCCCCTAGCTTCCTGGTCATTCCACGCTTTATTTAAACTGTGATCTTATGTTGCACCTAGCCGTGTTATTCTGTCTCCTTTAAACATGAGCCTGGACTTCACAGCCATGCTGGCACTGCTCTATGCCAGACTGATTTTCTCAGAAATGGTGAAGGGGACTTCACACCAGACCCTGGTATTCTGGCTATGTGTTATCATTTCTGCTGAATGAACTGTTAAGGAAGTTAGCCAATTCTGAGGGAAAGTTGTCTTTGTCCAGGTGTGATGGGATGTGGGATGGGCCTGGTCTTGCCTTAGGAATGGTCTAATCCTTCACTTTGTAGGCAATCTATTGAACCCAGAGACACATACCCCCGTGCGGGTGCTTGCACACACATAAATACACCTCCCACCCAGTCTGGGTACACATGCTTTGAAGAATAAAGTGTCTTTTTGAAATACATGTCTGCTGATATCAAAAGAGACACTGTGTAGGAGGGAGGTGACAACTCGCTGTTTAAACAGGTTGCTTGTTGTTGTCTGACACAAAACCAGCCTCACAGCCAACATGACAAGAGTCACCACTCTTACCACCTGCTTTGAGCAAAACACAGACCTGTGATCAGGAGAACAGCATGCAAATTTAGCGTAGCTGAAGCTCTTTAGTAATTGTGTCCACGGCGCCTTTGTTAGTAAAAGTAAAGGTACTTTACTTTCTCATCTAAGAGTGTGTTCGTGCAGTTGGAAATTGTTCCCGGCTGCTCGAGTGTCCCATTCCTGAAAGCAGTTGACCGATGGGGAATCTTTCCACCTCAGGGCAGCTTTCAGCGCCATCTTAAATGAAAGGTCCAACGCTCCAACAGTCCAACAGCCCGGCGCTGCTGGGGTCCAGCCCGCGCCTCACAGCGGTGCAGCTGACATACCTGACGAGAACGGCGTGGGCTCCCAATGAAATCAGGAGGCAAACTTAAACGCAGTGTATTTTCTCACAGACGCACACCATCAGGCAAAATGTGGGTGGAAAGTTTATCCCCAAACACCGAAGAAGAGCTGGCTAATATAAACTCCGCTTCTCTCAGGTCTTAGTCCCTCAGGCAGTGGAATTTGACTACCATATAAAAGACAAATACAAGTTTACCCACACCCTCCCACACACACACACACACACGCACACTCGTACATGTGCTGTGATGTTGTTTCTGGGGTGTGTTTGGCTCGTCCTCTGCAGTGACCTCTGCTCTGTAGATGAGCTTCTCCACGCGGGACACGCTCTGCTTTACCTTACACTCGCAGACTGGCTTAACCTGTTTTGCCTGGGAGTTTGTTGCTGTATACTCACTACCCCCCCCCCTCCCCCTCCCCTCTCCACACACAGACTCTTTCTCAGTTGTTTCTTCATATCTCCTGCTTAGACTCCTGAGAGAAAAAAACGAACAGACATGAAGGATCGAGAACATCCGTTTGAGCTTTGGATTTTTCTTTTTATTGGTTTGTTTGTTGATATCCGCTGGCAGTTTGGAGAGAGGGGTTTACCTCGAGGGAATCGAGAGCGCCATGAGGCCTGATTGGCACAAGCACATGTGGGCATTCACACCTCTGTTTCAGCCCTGTTTTGGTTGGCCCTCACAAAGCCTTGCACATAGACAGGCCAGCCCAGCGGAAAAAGGAGTTGTCAGCTCTGGGGGCTTTGCGCTGCGGCAGCTGCCTCTGGTCGGGCAGTTATATTTAAACTTGTAAGGCATAGGGAGGCAGCAGTTTTTACACTTGCTACTTGCTGCTCAGTGGGTCAGTGGGCAGCTCAAAGCTCTTTATCCATACAGAAGCAGCAGCAGTGCCAGGGCGGAAGGAGGAGGCTTGGGCTGGGAGTGGGAAAGCACTGGCCCCGTACCTAACTGAGCTTCTCATCTTTATCCTGCATACAGTGCTGCTCAGTTCCCCTATTTATTGCTCTCGTTTTCACCGTATGCATTCATGACAAAGGCCTCTCTGACTCTTGAGCTGTGACTCCCCAAAGCCTCTGGAAACAAGTGAGTGCATGTGGTTTTGTTTGTGCGCCCGTGGATGTGGTGGGGAGGTGCTGATGGAGAGGTTAGTCTCTGCAACCTTGATCTGTCCTGCTGAGCTGCAAAGTCAGGGGAGAGATGGGGGTGTTGGAGAGTGCTTATTTTTGTGCTGCGTATGTGTATAACATGTTTTTCCAACAACATTCTGAGTAGTGACCATTTAATAAGCCCTTCACCTTGCTGGACCACTGTACTCTGATGTTGACCACCAATAAGGATGAAAATGGTCTGATCACAGCCCATATATTGCCATTCCACTGTTATTTCAAAGCACTGATGATCATAGTAGGATGATGAAAGAGTGGCCTAAAACTGTTTATGAATATACGTTTTTCGGTTGGTACCAAAATCCATTTCTGAATTTATTTATTTGATTTTTTTTTAGCTTTGGCTTTGTCAGTTTTATGCTTTGGAGACCTCTTATAGCTAGTAATGTGAGCTTGCATGAATGTCTTCCGCATCACTTGGTCAGGTCAGGTGTGCTAACATTGTTGTTTTACATTGTAAAGGAACAACAACATAATTAAGAGAGAGCAATGTGGTTGCACATCTCTACTCAAATGACATACAAGAGGTGTGGGTCAGTTGGCCAAGTCAGATGACCTGCTGTTTACCCCCACCAACTAAGAGACGGACACCTGTGACTGCTTCATTTGGCCTTCAAAAGTATCTCCTTTTTTTTAAATTGATGTCGGGGTCTCCAGAACACTGTAATTGCCCTTATATCTGTAGCTGAGGAACAAACACCGAAGATGGAACTGCATTCCCGCTGGTGTGATAATGATTTCTTCAAATCATCCTCCCCTGCAGTTTTATGAAGATTAATAGTCCCCGGAGTTTCATTTAGTGCCACAAAGGTAGTAAAATAGTTTTAATACCAGTTCCGTACACAAACTCAAAATACAGGCCGTGCTGGATAGGTAGTACAATGGGCCTCCGTAATGATAAAAGCAGATGTTTGTATTGGCTCTGTCAGTCATGTTGTTCCACTGGCCCCTGGTCCCTGAGCCATTTCTGCTCTGCTGGGTCTGGCCGGGGGTCCCCTCACCCCCCCCCCCCAGTTGCTTTCTTTCTCAGAAGCATTTTCAGAAGAACATTCATATGCTGTAATTCACGCAGGCTTTAAATAGGAGGTGATGAGTTCATGATTGAAACTTTCAAAGGTATTATTAGGTGCAGTCCTGAGAGGGCACCGCTCCGTGTTTAAGAACAGTCAGACAGCTGGTCTTTGATGTCGAAAACACAACACAAAGAAAATCTGAATCGATGCATTTTTGTAAATGCATTCAGAAAGATGTCTTTGTTCCGGAAGGATTTTTCCAATATTTGTTCTTGTTGATGTGTGCTCGTGCCAGTTTTCAAGGTGCCCTTGCAGAGGAATGCAACAGCAATATCTCCACTTTGGGGGCTGGGTCTGTTCTGTCTTTCACTTAAAAATTTGATTTACTGAACTTTAGCCATCGGCAGCTCCCAATTTGCTGCTCCCTTTCTCTATGGCTCCACCACCCCGGGCACTGATTCTCCCTCCACCCTTTTGTCCCATTGCATGTCTTTGCCTGGTGTGGGAGGGGAGTTAAACCGTGCTGAAAGTCTGAAAGAAGATGGATGGAGAGACTGGAGAAGTGTGAAAGAGAAGGGAGAGTGACTGGGTTGGGTGTGCTGGTCTGGCTCTCATTAGCCTGTGGTGGGGCTCCCGTGTGTCGGAGGAATAGATGCGATGGGGTAACCGATCACTCGCACCTTTGGGTTAAAGGTTGAGTGAAAACCATAGCCAAGTGCATTTCTAGTAGTTTGAAAAGAAACAACCAAAAGGCTTCTGTCACGATCGGAGCAGTGTCCAGACATGGGGAATGTAGATATGTCCCACCACCAACTGTGTCTGCTATTAATAGTGTCTATTTAATGAGTTATATTGTCATTTATACACTATAAATGACCAAAGATTGACATGTGTTAACATTTGTTCCCCTTTACAGGCAAGAAAGATTTAATCGAATCGCCTTACAAAACGAGCAAAACGGCAAAACAGAATTGAACCTGTTATTCCACTTTAAGTAGCACAGTAAGCAGCCAAAAGTCGTGCTCTTCTCCGAGTTGACATTCAGCTTTCATTATTTCTTCCGTGGAAAAACCCTCTGTGCTGCTGTTAATGCGCTGCCACTGTCACTATCTTTGTTGCTCTACCCACCTGCACGAACTACAAACCACCCCTGAAAGCAGCAGGTTCAGACACGCTGTGTTACAATCGCTGAGAGGTTTTTCTTTGAATTAGAATTGGGAGATGTGGAAAATGTGTTTTCTTAACTGGTAAAAAAAAAAAAAACTTGAAACACCAACATAAATGTTCTTTTGAACTGCTGTAATGAATTGCCGGCCTGACACACAGTGGCTCTTTGGTTAACCATCGGTTGGCAACGTCCAAAAGCAACCCGAAGACATGAAAGGGATTAATGGTGTATGAAAGATTCTCTCAGCAAAAATGACTTTAGCGTGTATTGTAAATGCATCAACCTGCTGCATAAGCAGATTGAATAGATGATCAGAAGATAGATCTAGGGAACCACTAGTTAGAACACTAGAGGGGTGAATTTGGCTGCTTTTTCTTGTTTTCTTTTCTGTGTATTTTTCTTATAACCCTACTTTTTTACTGGGACAAGCACAGCTTTTTGTTTAGTGTGTGTGTGTGTACTACAGAAACTTTCCATCTATTGTCATGTCAGTCTGCATCTCATTGGTGTTTTGGAACTCCCAGCTCAGCGTTGGTTGTTTTTATTTCTCTGAATGCGCGTTTGCAGTGGCCAAACCATGTGTGAGGGCCAGCAGGGCAGTCTGTGGCTGCAGGGCACATGTTAACTGTTTAGTTTGGTTTTCATCAGCCTCCCCTCTGTGCTCTGTTTATTCTTCCCCACTAGTTCTTTCTTTGCTTTCTCTCTTATCTTTTTATCTTCCCTTTGTCTCTGAGTTCCTTTGCTGTTCTCCGAAAGAGTTGGTGCTTGTTTAAACATTATCTGTTTAATTCCAGGTTTATTGCATGACTTTAGCTTGTCTTTTGAGTCTCATTGCTTTAATGCTGGAGAAAACATAGCTGTCTGACGCTTTGTGGAAATTCCCCTTTGGTGGCATAGTCCCAAATCGAGCACTTTCACAGCGTCCTTTAAGTCTCATATTTCCATCTCGATCACCATGGTCAAGTGCACGTGGAATCAGAGTGGCCCGATTCAAATCTCAGTGTTGAGAAACTTAATGTTTTCTGCTGGTATCACTCTTGAGAGACCTGCATTTTTGAGTGGAGTAAGCCCTTGTGTTTTCCTAATGTTTAACATTTGGGAGCCTGTAGAATGTCAGCATTCTGTTGTCTTTGTTAGGGTTTCCATTAGCCACGGTTGTTTAGTTGCTCCCTGAGAGTGGGCCGCAAAAAACGTGCTCAGTCATTGTCTTTGTAATGTCTCTCCTCCAAACCAGAAGTACTGGGGTAAAGTGAAAATGTTGAGAGACACAAGTCCTTTTTCCAAACCAGTCTGTCGGGAAGTGGTGGTTAGAAATGCAGCACTTTGATTGACATTATACCCATTTAGATTTTTTTCAAAGTTTCCACTGTTGTTCTCTACACAATAATGATTATTGTCCTTGCTGAATGCCACGTCTCTGTGTACTTATTTCAGCATCAGACGGTGTCTCTCCAGCCTTTGCCCAAGATAGAGGAAGTTCTGTACCACTACAAACCCCTTCAAGTCGAAACCTACGGACCACCGGTGCCTGAACTGGAGCAGCTGGGCAGATTCGGGTACAGATTTATGCATTTAATCTGAGCTGCACATCAGGAATTTACATGTTTTTAGCCATAATAATATTTTTCAGATAAGGTATCACTGTTACATTTGTCAAGAAACAATTAGATTATTCCTCTGATTCATATATTAAGTTGTTATAGTAATAATCAAAGAATGATATTTGTATGAAGATTTTCATACTACAACCTTTTTTAGACAGACTTTGAAAAATAACTAACAATGTGTATATTTTCTTTTATTAACTCACTTGAAAGCATCTAATGGGGACCAAAGTGTAGTTCCAAATATTTTTTCAGAAATAACAAACAAAGAAAATGGCAAAATAGTGATGGCTGTCAATAATGAGATTAGAAATTCAAAGAGTTCGAGGAGGTTTGGTTTTTCAGTGTTTTGTGTGGGAGCAGCTGGGAACTGTGCCTGGCTTGTTTCATTTGGCTCTGCTCGGATTAACTGAGAGACTAAATGCAAAACATGGAGGAGGCAGTCTGGGAGAAAGAGAGTAACAACTATCTCACTGCCACAAGCCGCCATGGTGCATCTGCAGGAGCGTCCATTAACACACAGGAAGTGCTTTCCCCGACGGCCCCTTTGGGCCAATCAATCCACGACGCCATTGGTCCGGGCCTCTCTGAATGTAAGCTATCCATCAGACAACCCAGCGCCCAGCCGTCTGCACTTCAATTGGCTGGCACTGTAGCCTTCCCACACACTGAGAACAGCCTGCTTTTATTGGGTGACAGAGGCAAAATGGGGTCATATTCTTAACGCACCATCTCATTGACTTTGAGCTCCGCTTTTGACAATAACCTTCGTTTGGCTAAGGTGTGCATATTTTAAACATATTGTCAGCATGTTGGGGACAAGGATTTTCTTGAATCGTCATACTGTATTCTTCAGACAAAAGTTGGTATCGACTTTCGAGCACAGTCACAATTACCTAATTACCTGGAGATGCACCTACTTAAGGTGAAGCATTTCGGGAGACTTTAAGCAGAATTACTGGCACTTATTTGCATTATGTATTCAGTGAAGTGCTGAGGTCCTGCTTCTTTTGACCAGGCTAATCAATATGCAGATGAAACACACATCTCACAATTTTTTGCCGCATGCTGGATCTCAGAGGAGGGAGAAGAGGAGGGGCTCCCCATGTCAGCAGTTCAGGGGTCCAGGAGGACCGCTGCTGGAGGGGAAGGACTCTGCCACAGAGATAAATGAGGCTCTGTTCAGTGAGGAGCACCAGTCCCTTTGGTGCAGGCTGCAGGCAGCGACACAGACAGGCCAGTTCAGACAGACCACAAGTCCCAAGATGCAGCGTGCCGTTAAATAAAAGTAAGGAAAAACTGCTGACACTTCTGCACAGCTGGCAGTTTGTGATCAGCAAAGTTTGAGGTTTCGTGATGTATGTCGATTATCGAGCCAGCGAATAGTCTCACGGACACAGCGCCCCTTCTGTCTTTTACGTTTCGTGTCACAAACTCACGCTCACCTTTGTTATTGCACTGCCAGCATACTGGCCGCGATGGAACATGCAATATGTGGTAAATACTCTCAAGTGCTTTTGGAGAGGAGTCAATGTGCAGACAGCGTTGGAGAGTGAAAAGCGAGTCCCCTGTGTAGAATCTTGGACTACGACGCCGCTCCTGTGACCTGTGAAGGGAATATGGGTGAACTTGTGAGGAGATATGGATGTGCTGGAGCATGGATGAGGTAGAAGGGGCTTTGAAGGGGCAAGTACTTATTTTAAAACATGGCTGTTTGTCTTGGTCAGTGCTTGCTGTGACAGCCGCGCCGCTGGTGATTTGTCTTGGACGCAGCCATCAAGTGAGACATGAGCGCTGAGCTCACACACCCCTCCCCGGTGGCCCCCGGGCCTCTGGGGCTCACCCGTTGCATGGGATGGCCAGTCAACACAGGACCGACCGGAGCCGTGTTTTTAATGTCAACCCTTCTCTTTTTCCTCGGCATCGCTCTCCCTCTGCCTCGGTGTCTTTGTCTTTTTCGCCTTATCCCTTTGCCCCCCAAAAAACCGCAGGAGTGCTGCACGGCTGCCAGGAAAAAGAAAAGCCACGCCTCTTTCTCTGTGTCTGCCCCTCTTTCAGCCGTACCTGAATAAACATGGCCTGAGCCGAGCTCTTCTATTAAAGACAGCTGCTTCAGTGCTAAGGCGAAGCACAGGCTGCATGTTCAGGCAACAGGGGCCTCCAAAAGTGCCCATTCAGCTTTCACTTTACCATCTACACCCCTCACTCACACATGCATATCCAGAAGCTCTCCTGATGTGCAGAGGTGTGTCTGATTTGCCGCTGAGGATATGACCCCAACTGTGTGAGGTTTCTATAATGGCCTTATAGTGCTGCCCTTCTAATTGACTGGCACATATCCAGAGCTGTGCGTGAGCCGGAAGAATTATGAGTTGACTCTGAACGCAACACTTCAGCCTGAACTCCAAATGTCCTGCCATGGCTCCTTGCTTTTATGTCCAACAGTAAAAGCCTTTAATAAACAAAATCAAAGCAGAAGTAAATACTGCTTTGGAGACACAAACAGAAACATATGATGTTTACATTCACATGGCTGTTACATGAATCCCAGCACATAGAGCATAGAGACTGTCGCAGTAGCTGTTAAACTCCTGGCGCCTGACACAACCTGAAATGCATACTTCTATTCATCAAAATACTCAGCACCTCAAAGTCATCCCTGCGTTATGGTTAAAAATACAACTGTGAGTTTGGATGGGTTCCTACAGACAAATGCTGCTGAGCTGAAAGAATTGAAAAGTCCTATTTTTGTTTGTATATGTAGATTGTGAAGCATCTGGATCCGAGTATGTTCTCTACCAGAATACTTTTGAAGCTGTGACTGTGTAGGCGATGAAAGACTGACTGGGATCTTGGACAAGGACAAATCATATGGGGGGAAAAAATAGGGGAAAGAGAAATTGGCTGTGGAGCGTTGAAAAATTTAACTCAAACCTCAAGTGCTGACAATGAAAGCTAGCCAGAACAGTTGTTTGTGTTGGCACGGGTTGCCCTGAAATTAGCCCATCTTTTCCTGACAGAAGTTGCTCAATGTGCTTTGCCAAATGCCAGTGTGTATAATATTTTGAAGTTTTGCCTCCTCCCCAACTCCGCATTACCGTCTATAATTGGTGGAAAAAATGAGGTTTTCTGTTGGGAGTGCTTGTCGGGGATTCGTCTCCTGTCGATGGGGTGAAAGGGAGCAGCTGAATGAGTGAGTGTTTAGTCTGGAGCTCCTCTCCTGGGGATGGGCTTCCATGCACAAGGAAATAGTCCTAAGAGCACTTTCCCTTCCTAAGACACCATCAGAGGGGCTGAATAGCCAAGCGTAGCTTTCTGTGACCAACATTCATAAACACAGTGGATAACCAATAATATTCTCCCCTCAAAACTCCTCTTCAGTCTTAATTGAAAAAAAAAAAAAAATGTATTCATGGACACAAACGTAATGCATAAATCAGTTGTGCACATGTAGACCAGCTATGTTTAACATGTACTTAAAAGACGCCTTCTCACTGCTCTGGTTGTGAGCCAGAACTTAATGGGTCTCTGAGTGATGCTCTCCTCCTGCTGATGTTCTACACATCCCTCGATGCCTGCGTGTTTATTTCAACTGTGTGTGCATCTATTTGTTTGTTTGTTGATTTATGCTGCATGTTAAGTGCTTCGGTGGGAGGGAGGTATTCAGGATAGTCAATGCTGCCATCCCAGCCATTCCTGGCAGCTAGCTTTGCTAGCCTCTCCCTGCCTGTTGGCCTGACTCCAACTCGGAACTCTCCAGCTTTCTATCTTTAGTCCGATTGGCCGAAATCGCTCCCATTGACTCCAAATTTGGCTCAGGGATTCAGCAGGACCACTAAACATGGTCTACAGAGTACTCTTGAATCCATTTCTGCCGCTGCTAACTTAGAAGGCACAAGGTTTAAATTGCACAGAAGTCATTCTGTCTATTTCCTGCTCACTCTGTAAGGAAAACACGAGTCCGTCGAGATATTCCTCTTTTTTTTTTTTACTGCTAATGGAAAAAAAACAAACCCAAATGAATCTATTGAAATGGCCATGAATAGCTTTTCCATATCTTCAGGTTCTCTGACCCTACAATGCACACATCCATCTAATGCGCTTGATGGGTCTGGAGGAGCCTGGGGGTGGGTCAGAGGTCACTGACCAAGGAGGACCCGAGGCACGGCAGCAGGATGTCAGAGTGCTGCGAGTGACAGAAGCAGAGTGATGGCACCTCAGAGAGACGGGTCTCATATTGAGGGCCACAAATAGTTGTGCTCTCTCACACAAATAAAACTTTGATGGTTACGTTGTGACCTGGAGAGCGAGGCGCCGTTGAGCGTGACCTCACGTGAACTCTTTCAAGAGCTGTGCGCTTTGATCTACTTCTACGGCCTGTACATAATGTCTTAGGGCACATATTTTGTTCTCACTTGTCAGATGCAATATTCTGTGCCTTATTTATAGTACCTTGTTTGTCTCTTGCATAACAATAGGACTTTCCCTCAAATACTTTTGGATTGCCACCGTAGCAGAGACCTACGGCTGAACTCGGTTTCTCAGATATCTGATAGGCTCTATTCTTGCATCCTACACACTGGTCGCACGTGCCAATGTCTTGTGTTACTGGAAGCTACATAGCCAGTAACTTTAGTCTTCACTGCAGAGCTTCACTGACCATTTAAGTGTTTCCATTGCTCTGACCTAAAGGATTGACTGCAGTCGTGAGGCATACAGATTTAAAATTTGCATAGCCAAAAGAGAGTGCATGCACAATAATAGCGTGGAGGCTTGAGGCCAACTATTTGACTTGCAAACCTTTTTGTGTCAGCCGGATGCCCCATCTTTATGCGCAGTATAGTACCACCACCAGATGCAGATGCTTAGATTCTTGTAGGAATGAGACTCAACGCTCCCCGTTTGATCAAAGAACCTTTCCACAAGTGGAGCAAAGCACGGCCATCGTCTGATTCTCCACCAGCCAACACCCAGACC